GGGAGGGGGAACGGGGTGGGAAGAAACCCCGAAAATATATTAAAAAAAAGAAAAACTGTGAAAAAGGAAAATATAAGCTTAAGAGAGCAGACAGAAGCAAGAAATGTTTACCACACAAAGACCTGACAGGACGTGCCGTGGGTATTGGCAGAGTGAAGAAAGGTCAGTGTTGAAGTAGACCTTGGGGAGGTCAATATATCGACCTTAACACAACCTGATTGACCACTGGAGCACTAAAGTTTTATTGATTGACAGGTAAGAGGCCTTCTGTTGGCGTTGCCAGGTTTGAAATGGTCTTATGAATGTTTCGTTTTTCGGGTACCATTGCTCGTTCAATAAGAAATCCATCGTGACGCGGCAAAATTCGCACTGTGCACAAAGGAATGATGTTTGATGATCTATTTAGCGTAGGGAAGCATTGGTCTTGATTGAAATCACGACTCTGCTGTTTGTGTGAAGTGCCGCATTTTGTTGTTGTTTTTGTTTTCCAGAATAGTTTTTGAGCACTATAATCCACATGAAGAGCACAGAGGAAAAGCGCCGGAAGTCACAAACTGGACATTGTGAGGCTGCCAATTTTAAAAGCTTGTGGACTCACAGCTTCATATTTGTTTGGCTGGTGGTTTATTGTTAAGTGTTGTTGAATGGGAAATCTAACAACAATAATCAACCAACAGCTGAACATAAATACAGTTATGAGTCTACAAGCGTTCAAAATTGGTACCCTCATGATTTTCAGTTTGTGACTACCGTCGTTTTCCTCCTGTACTCTTCATTTGTCAGATATAGTTATGTCTTCTTTTTTAATGTTTTAGGTCTACAAAAGGAACCAGCGGAGTGTAACTACATTGTATCTTGGCTGACACATGAAAAGTGTTTGGTTTATTAATCCAAATTGGAGTCCAGAATTTTCACGTAGGAATACATGTATGCATTTATATTTTCCCTTACGGACATTCCAGTGTTTTCATGCAAGTCCTATAGGCTGTACCTCGAAAAGACATACACTGAGACCAGTACGACTTTAATCTTAAAACTTTAGTACGAACAGGTTTTAATTAAGCAACGAGGCATGTTAATTAAAAGACCATGTAAGTAGAACTGAAAACAAATAAAACCAAACACAAGCAACTTTCCCGCCAGTTTAAAAACCCGAGAATATAAACTGCATATTAATTATACATGTATTACAAAACAGCCGTCCCTTCCTGATTTTCTAAAAACAAGAGAGCCGAGACACTGTGACACTGTAAAGATGACTCCTCTAGGGAGAGGGACAGAGGGTGCCGACCCACCTCGTGACTCGAAAGAGCTGAGGAATGTAGGACTAAAATGATCTAAACAATTAACTATTAACCAGTTGTGGTAGCCATCTCCAGTTGGGGGCTATGGCAACACTTAGATGTGTAACTTACCAAAAACGTTATAAGCGTGAAGAAACATATGTATTTCCTTATTTATTAATGTATTTATTTATATTATGTAAAACATTTCCCTAAGAGTTTACTCTAAAACTAACGGCTAATTTCAAAACCCAAAATGCAGCACAGTTTGCTGTTATTACTAAACACAAAAGCGCCAAATGATAGAATTGGGCAGGGTAAAAAAAAAACAAGAAAAAAAGAAAAGAAAAAGAAAAAAAAACCAAGAGAGCCGAGACACATCGGGGGTGGGGGGCAGATTCCAAGGGATGCTAACATGCTTTTTTAGTGCGCCACCATTGACAGGAACACAATTAGTGCATGCCTGTGGGGGTCTTGGGAGCTGGAGAAGGAATTCTTTGGTGGTTTTTTTTTTGGGTGGGGCGGAAATGGTGATGGCAGCCAAGAACTCAGATTGACGGGGGAACTGCCGTATCCCCGAACCGGGTTATATGAATTATTCTTGCTTAGACCTTTGAGAGATTTGAGTTCCTACCCCCACCTTTTCCCCAGCTTCTAACTATTCAAAATGTGACATTAAGCAGTAAAACACTTACCAAACAAAAATGTTCAAAATTTTCTTTCGGGCAAAGTTTGTGTTACGCTAAAACAAAAGCGAAACTAGCCCTTCCCTGTTACCCCACCCTCGCTCAAAACCCCTTCTTTAATAGTCAGATAGAAAGTAATTTATTACATGAGTTGTGGTGGTAGATCTGATTTATCCTACAAGTGAAAATGCCAAGTTATAATCCCGAGCTTCAACGAGTAATAGTAATTACCCGGCAATTTGACAAATTGGATAAATCATGGTTTGAACCAGAAACAGCAATAGCAGGAGTAGCAGCAGTAGCGACAGCAACATACACAGGAACAAAAATAACAGAACCAAGAACGAGAATGTCACTGTTTGAGTGATAGGTTGTAGTAATATAAACTATTTTTCTCTACAAGTATTTTTTTGCAGAAAAGAATAGACAGATGGCTAGTTTTTAACTTTCAATGGAACTGGAATATTCAAGAGGAGATAATATAATGTATGAAAAGGAGGAAAATAGAGGACAGAGTTATGCCTCGAGACAAATACTTTTAAATAAGCCAACGTTTACAAGCTCTCCCAGAGCCTATACAAACATACGGGGGCGGTTCATGAGTCTAAGCGTGAAGGGTAAAGAAACCTCACGGGCAAACCTTTTTGCACTCAGATGTCTGGAAACACTACAGGTGATCAGTGGCAGAGTGTCCAGAGGTTATAATTTATAGTTTGTGTGACCTTCTATTGAGAGGGCGGCCGAGAATCCTTTGACCGACCAAGGCACATTATGTCAGGGGATTAATGTTCTTTTGAGGACAGCACACTTATTCAAAAGGTGACACCTTCGATTTAAGAACAACACTGTGATAATTGGGCTGAGAAATTACTATCCTATCCCTTACTCACACCTAACACATATAAAGTTACCATCGATATTCCAGTACTTTTGAAGCCCCAAACAGGTAGATTTTCCTGTAAAAGTTATATATTATACTTTAGAAATGAAAGAAAGACAAATGTGCTCAATTTTGGAAAGCGAACCTAATTCTCCACTTCTTAAGATCAATTACCTTAGCAATGAAAGGGTAGCCCAAAAAATTTTCGGGGGAAGTTTGCATATTTGGGCTATGCAAAGCTCAAAATAAGCACTCCTTTGCTCTTTCTTGTCTCTTATTTCGACCCATACCAAGTCATCAACGCTAAATATTAGCATGGTTCTTGAAGTGTCCAATGCCTAGAGGGACTGCTTTATTCTCTTTCATTGGGCACTTAATTTTTTTCGTCTGGCTTGGAAATAACAGTACAGTAGTTGACTGACTGGCCATTTCATCATCTGCTGTTGTGCTTTACCTCGGCATATGCAACCATGACTGAAGCCCTCCAAATGTGGTTTGTTTGAGAACCTTTTCCTGGTTCAACATCTATTTGTCGCCTTCCAGTCGGAGGTCGATACTAAACGGCAGGTTTTAACTCCGGGGGAGAAAAACTACAGAGTTGAAACTAGAGAAACCTACAGCACACCACAAAGGAAGTCAATGAACACTGGCGTGCCAAACAGGGCTGCCTGCCGTGAAGCAGAACAAATTCGCCTGTTCCAAGGCCCTAATGCTTTGAGTGCCTTGTCAAACACATTAGTTTGGCTAGTCAGACTTCTAGAAGAGTGAGTGGACATTCTTACATCTTACGGCTGAATGGCTGTTTTGTATTTTTTACTACTTGTCTCTTATCCCCTCCTTTACGCACGCACGCACGCACGCACACACACACACACACACACACACACACACACAAACACACACACACACACATGCACAAACACGACACATAAATATAGACAGCCATTTAGCTGGACCATTGTCCATTCGTCCACAATAAAGAAACATAAAGAAGGCTAGACAAGCTAACAAGTCAGAAGGGAGAGACGAACGGCCAACAACAGTGATAGATAGACAGATAGATAGATAGATAGATAGATAGATAGATAGATAGATAGATAGATAGATAGATAGATAGATAGATAGATAGATAGATAGATAGATACATTAGTCCTGAGGTTGCTGAGCAGACAGGCATAAAGGTAGAGGAAGTTCAAGGGAAACACAGAAAGATTGATATAAGAGTAGATCAGATATATTTAGGTCAACCGATAATGGGCTTTTGATGATCATTTATTGATTATGACAGACTTATCAGATACGTGATCGAAGGGAAGGCGTGACAGTTCCGGTGTTCAGGGGGCTCTTTTCAAGACTCCCTTGTCGAGTCAAGTTTGTACATTTAATGTTATACCTAGATGCATTTCTAACCTTTTCCTGAGTGGGTTCATTTGTGCGTAATGTGATCAGCAATGTTAAAACATCCACACCCCACGTCTTTAACTTTAAGGAGTAGGTCATTGATATATTGTAGATTCTTGTAAGTTGCGCTGGTCGCTGGCACACATGAGCATGAGGTTAGCTACCTCGCAGAAATTCGGGGTGTGAATCCGAAAGCAGTGTATGGTTTCTCTCTGTCTCTTTGGACTCTCTCTCTCTCTCTCTCTCTCTCTCTCTCTCTCTCTCTCTCTCTCTCTCTCTCTCTCTGTTTCTCTCTCTCCCCCTCCCCTCAGTGGTATTGTTTCACTACATCCAGGGGAGAATGGGTACCTGGCCACAGACGGAGCAATAGCTTGTTTCAGTGCCTGTTCAACGATAGCTTGCACTTCCCATGAAGTTGAATGTTAATCACAATGCTGTCACGCCTGCAAGGGTGATAATATAGAGCCCATAGAGCTTCCTCTTGAGCGTTAAAATGTGACATGCTGTAGTTTTAACGCTCCTATCAACACTATTAGGTTATTTATTAGGCTAAATCCTCAAGTTTAATATCCTTCCCAATTGAGAAATTCGGATAAAGTGCCTTGCCTACGGATACAACGTCGGGCCGAGATGAGGCTCGAACCCCCCCGAGCCCGCAATCTCATGAATATGGGTTCTGCAGCCGAACCACTAGTAGGGCTGTTGAGCGTGAACTCGCGCTATACAAATTATGTTATGTTACGTTAACAGTCAACTTGTCTTGTGGCGTCGGTGGCCTAGTGGTTAGGCTACCGGACTCGTAATCGTGAGGTAGCGGGTTCTGGGGTTCGAGCCGAAAGCCCGACGTTGAGTCCCTGGGAAGGGCACTTTGCACGAATTTTCCTCACTTCACCCAGGTGGAAATGGGTACCCGGCCATAGACAGTGACAGATCTTGTCAGTATGTTAGAGTTTTAGCACCTATAAGTGGCTACTTGCACTGTATGCTTCCCAGGAAGTTGAGTTTGTTTCAGAATGCTCTCAGGTCTGCTGGGGTAATAGTATAGATTGTGAAGCGCATAGAGCTTGCTGTTGAGCGGGGATTTGTGCTATACAAATGCTATCTATCTATCTATTATTATTATTATTATTATTATATATCAGTACAAATGTATTGTTCTCTGACTTGTTTCAGTAAAGGGGAAACTGTGATGTCGTGGTACTCTGGGCAGGGCGCTAATTATAGAGTTCCTTGTAAATGTGTTACGCCCTAACCCATCATTTGATGAATCATTTTGGAGGCGGGCTGCTTCGATCCTGCTGGTTAAGGCCAACACATGCTGAGAGGGCAACGACGTCCCAGCAAACATACGGGGATATATTCGAAAGCGTAGAATAAAATACATCATAATGCACGTAACCTTTCATTTCGTTGCCAAGTACCATTCAAGAGTACTACAAGGGTCGGTCAAAAACATATTTTTCTAAAAGATCTGTTTAAAAAAACCGCGATTTGGCCATAATGGAAGAGACACATTTTTGGGCAATGTCTGTAACTTTACGGAGTTATATGAAATTAGAAGACTTATACAGGAAATACTTTGCCCCGAAGCATAAACATTCTGTCAAATTTCGAAACTCGAGACTCTTTCCTTCCCCATAGTTTAGTTTTGAAACGTTTTCGTAAGAATTTTACCCCATGCAAGTGCCGAAGATAAAAGGTGCTACGAAAGAGTAAAATACACGGACCAGAAGGCTGAAAGATAAGGACAATAGATGTTTGATAGGAAGGAGGAAGCAAACCACATCGGTGCACTCGCCAACTACCCACTTTCCCATAGTTTGCGACTCCTTTTGAAGCATGAAGACGAACCATCTCATTCCGACCTCTACAGTCATATTATTTGCTTTGTGTCTTTATTTGTTTGTCAGTTTATTTATTTGTTCGTTTGGGTAAAGAGAAGCACATCGACAAAAAAAGGCAATTTAGTGCTGGGAAAAAGTAAGACAGGCAGACAAAATTAACAAAGGGAAAATAAAAGAGGTAGGATCTACCAGTGGCGCCCTCCTCCAACCACTGTCTTTGTTTTTTAGACACTAAATGAACACTAAAAGCACAAACAGACACAACAAAAAGTGTTAAGTGATACATAACTTTTGTATTTATAGATTTGCATTAGAAATAAAGTCATATAAATAATGAGCTTGAGAAAAATGAAAGGAAACCAGGCATACCATATTACGTGTAGTATGTCAAAACATTAGGCAGTGACCTCGGTCCATTAACCCTTGCCAAGAAAAAAAATCCTTGGGAAGTTGACACTATACCTAAAGGCACATGAACTTGGTAGTAGCCTGCAAGTCGTGAAATTAACATTTCAACATTTTAGAAATGGACAATACTGCTTTCTTATTCCTTATAAAATGTTTCTGAAAACCCAACAAGAGGGCCTAAACAAACATTACAAGGGAGGTAATCATAATGTGGTACACCTGGGGATGCGTTCTGTCGATGAGAGTATTGGGTTGCGTTGGTGAAACTCTTTACTTTGACGTCATCATCTTTACGAATTCTGAAAAAGGAAGGGAAAAAACAAACATTTTTATTAGTTTTATCGAACTGGTGACTCGTACACGGTTGGAGCAAGGTCCTATAGAACAACCCGTTTCTCAAGGGACACATAAATCTACATTGATACTGAGCCAGGAAGTTGTTTCAAAAACAATTATCCAAACAATATACGCACTTGCACAGAAGCGAGTGTATGGTCATACAATAATTATCTACTGGACTGACAGAGCAATAGGCTGACGACATGGACACAGAAGTAAGACAAACAATAAATACCATGGCACATAGCTACAGTGAGCTGCACAGTGGTGACCAGCAAAAGCATGTTTGTACAATTATTGTTCTGCACTGGTGTAACATTGTGTACTCGTCATTCTTTGTCCTTTTATTTAGGTGCTTAATTTTATTTATCCATGTATGTATGTTTTCCATTGTACCCCAAATTTCCTCACCAGGAACAGCAAAGTGTAAGTATTTTATTTATTATTTATCTATCATGCGTAAAATATAACAAACATGGTAAAAACCAGAAAATAACAATAACAAAGAAACAACAAACAACAACAACAACAGTGGAAGGCTGGATGGATCGGTCTGTCGGTGGCGGAATGGGTATGTCCACTTACGGGAAAGACAGACATTCAGGTAGACAGGTAGGTAAGTAGGTAAGTAGGCAGGCAGGCAGGTAGGAAGGCAGGCAGATAGCTAGATAAGTAGATAAGATGATAAGTAATGATAAGTAGATAAGTAAGGTGGAGCGTAGTTTGGTTGGTCAAAACGGAAATAAATATCATTAACTTGCACTCTTGGAACGAAAATAGAGAACATGTAATAGTCTGCAAACTTTAGAAAACAAAATAACTTTGGCTTCAGTTGTGGGCCAGGTGTTAGTGAACCTTTGCACTTCCCAAGTTAGTTTTCAAACGAGCTGTTTCTTTTAAAAGTTTGAAAAAGCAAAACAAACAAAAGAAACCAACTTTAGCAACCGTTGGCAAACAAATAACTGCATTCTAGTGTTGAAAGCTTTTGTTACTTTAAGAAGACTATCACATTTTTGTTTGTTTGAAGAGGCTATGTATGTAAATTCTGTATCACTGTCTGTGATACAAGAAGATGTCAAACATTTTCTGGAATAAAAAATCTATATTGTGGAAAAATAGTGTAACATCTAGCCTCCAAATTCTGTAATCCAAGACAGGAAAGGCGAACAAAAAGTTTGAGTCAAAACCAAGGAAAACACAAAAATGCCAACAAAAACGCAGAAGAGTTAATACAACATTTGAACTGAATTTTCTAACACACTCAGGAGACGGCATTTCCTTCTAAGTGCATGTGTATACAAATCAAACACTCAGCACTGATTTGCTTTTATGCTCTCTAATGATATGATTATACTTTGAGGTTACTTATTGATGGCAGATTATAGATATAGATTACTCCCCTATCGATACAATTCAGGAGACGCACTGCGTCAACTTCATCATATGTCAGGGCAAATCTTTTTTGCTTGGAAACCGTAGTCCAGTAAAAGACGGATATATTCGATAAAAATAGACCTTCCCACGTGGGAATCGAACTTATGTCTTTGGCATATTATTATAACAGCGAGGAGCGAAATCGTTACACTTTTGGGGGCTGAAACTAAGTCACAATTTTTTCGTTGCAGAAACCCATTACCAATTTAGAGTATAACCTTAAATACCCACCCGAGGATGCAACTTTAAAGCGGGGCATGAGGGTTAAAAACTTTGAACATTTGATTCTGTTTCAACTCATTTCTTAAAATAAAAACGTTGAAATCTTGTTTAAGAACTCTATTTTCTTTTGTTACCATCTCCTGACTTAAAATCATAATAAGAGTAATTATAAAAACAGAAATAGGCAACTTGTTACAAAAGATGTTCCTTCTGAAAACAATCCTGGAACAATCGAACGTTTCAGTGTTAGCCTAATCCCAAACCCGTGAAGGTTTACACAATATTCAAGCAGCCTCCTTGCTAGTGGAGCAGCATCATTCTCACGAACTCTGAGGTATTGGAGGAAAATATTATGTCACTAAAGCATTACGCTCATTCCATTCAGTGGATACAGTTAAATCTCAATTGTTGAAAACATTGAAGCTGCAAGGACATTAGAAAACTAGTCTGAAAAAAAATAAAAAAAATCGAAGCAATTATTTAGAGAATAATATGTACTTTTTTGTGTCCGGTAAGATTGTTCTTCACATCATCATATCAAAGGGAATCTATGCAAAAACGCTATGCTGCAAATTGTAAAGTAATAGTTTATCAAGAATCGTGTAACTAACTATCAATTTTTCATTCTTGGCCTCAACATGATAGTCGTTCTATTTCTTTGCTTTCTTTCATCCCATAACTGAATTAAAATTAAATACAACCAGCTCTGCCACCAAAAAGAGCATTAAAGTTGAACTTTTTCAATAAGCCAATAATTATAATAGTTATATGAGAGAGTTTCCGTCATATTCTTTCTCTTTCTCTCTCTCTATCCCCCCCCTCTCTCTCCAATTTGTGTGTGTGAGCGTGTGTGTGTGTGTGTGTGTGTGTGTGTGTGTGTGTGTGTGTGTGTGTGTGTATGTGTGTGTGCGCGTGTGCATGTGAGGGGGGTGGGGGTGGGTGTGATGGGTGTAACTGAACAATTTGCTATCAAACAGATCGTTCCTACAACCGTCTGACCAGACTACGCCACACCAACACTCTCTTACCATCATAGTTGACCTGTCCGTCTCCGTCGACATCAGCCTCCCGGATCATCTCATCCACCTCCTCGTCCGTCAACTTCTCACCCAGATTCGTCATCACGTGACGCAACTCGGCGGCAGAAATGAAACCGTTACCGTCCTTGTCGAAGACCCGGAAGGCTTCCCTGATCTCCTCCTCGGAGTCTGTGTCTTTCATTTTTCTGGCCATCATCGTAAGGAATTCGGGGAAGTCGATGGTGCCGTTGCCTGAGGAGAATATTCACGCACACTTCGATGACACGTCATAATTGGCGGAAAACAAACAAACAAGAGGAGACAATAGAATTCATTAACCATTTATTTTGTTATATTCCCATTTTGACAGTGGATGTGTTTTTAGAGATGCATCTATTACTGTAAATAAATTAGTAAATAGAAACCCTGGAGAAATTTTTGTTGTTTAAGCTCGATGTCTGCTAAAAAATCAACCGGAGAGTAAAATTAGGTGAATTACATGACAAGTTAAAAAAAATTCTGATTTAAATCAATAGTCAACAGAGATTACATTCATCCGCTTTAAAACAAAAATTGCAACCAAAAAAAAAAAAAGAAAAAAGGTAAAGCTAGAAACAACAACAAAAAGGCTTTGGGGTTTCCAATAAATAAAACCCTGAAAAGATGAACCAGTATCTTTCGTTGCGTGTGATTTTCATTTAAAATACAATCAGTTTCCACCCTACACATCTTTTAAAAGTTTCTTTCATCGAACCAGAAATACGCGCTAGCGGAGGCCTCGCCGAAAGCTCACAATCAGCGTCCACCTCGTTGATCATGTCCTGTAGCTCGGCATCTGTAGAGTTCTGTCCCTCTCTGCCTCTCCCTCTCCCTCCCTTCCTCTTCCCTCCACTCTCCCTCCCTCTCTCCCTCCCTCTCTCCCTCCCTTTCCCTCCCTTTACCCACTCACCATCAGCGTCCACCTCGTTGATCATGTCCTGTAGCTCGGCCTCTGTGGGGTTCTGTCCCAGGGATCTCATGACTGTGCCCAGCTCTTTGGTGGTGATGGTGCCGTCGCCATCTTTGTCGAACAGGCTGAACGCCTCTTTGAACTCTGGAAAAGCAAACATAGGGTAAGTAAACACACACACACACACAGACACACGCACAACACAAACACACACAAACACACTCATACACACTCATACACACACACACGCGCGCGCGCACACACACACACACACACACACACACACACACACACAGAGACACCTTTCTCCCTAAGAAATACATATCTTTGGACTGATAATTTTCATCAGAAGCAGATGCACAATATTGTTTTGACACAGAGAAAAATAATTTCGTCTACAGTCATATCAAAAATGGCGCTAGAGCATAATTAACATTAGCATCCCCCCTTCCCCACTCTCTCTTCATACCCCTGTCTGTCTCTCACCCATCATATTATAAAAATGTGAGGTAGCTTGGTGGAATCAGCCTCTCGTCAATTTTTGGTCCTGTAGAGTTATTGGTATCATCTTAAAGCTTATTTACTTGTCTTTATTAGGATGAAAAAAATATCCATTTATCTTGAAAACAAGTCGAAATATTTACGAAAGAAGGAGGTGGGGGTCACTTGTTTTCAGAGGTAAACTTAGTGAGAAAATGGCTGCCAAAAATTAGTTATTTCCTTAGCTTAAGAGTCCGTGTAACTGAAAATTTACATTTGTTGTGCCTTTAATCAACAAAGAAATGAATTCTTTAATGGGCATGAAAGGTGCTGAGCCCCCCAAAAATGTTTGATAAAAATTCACAAACCTGGGGGAAAATGTGGGTTTCCTCACTTTGATTATTTTGACGAGAGCCTGATTCCACCACACTGCCTAACAAATGATTGGTAAAATTGTATAAAACAAAAAGAACTAATAGCAAAACCATTCGTGGTGTTGTCGCATACTAACCTGCGATCTGTTCTTCATTCAGCTGATCGGCCTGAAAAGACAATGGAAAAGAAACAAACGATCAGAATAGTGTTCAGAACTATATTGAAGGACGAGACAAACTGCTTTGTTAGTAGAGTTGATCTTTCTAGGCCTTCCCTCGGAAGCTTTGAGGGAAGATTGTCCTTATCAGGAACAAAAAATCTTGTGGCAAAGTAATTCAGATTGTACAGGCATGTTCATAGATTTTTAAAAAGATAGACAGACAGCGAGATAAATATATAGAGACAGACAGACAGACAGACAGACAGACAGACAGACAGACAGACAGACAGACAGACAGGCAGGCATGCAGGCAGGCAGACAGAACAGGTCTATAGAAATATCACTGTGACATTTGGTGCGTCTGTGAGACTTGGGGAGTCCTAGACGCAACGGAGGGTGCGGTGAGGCGTAATTACGCACCAAGATAAACACAGCCTCTCAGATACACCGACATTACCTCCGCCGTCTCTCACCTAAAACATAGGGCTATCCAAACCTAACTTCAGTGTTTGGGGTGTATTCTTGTCTCTTTTTTTTATCTGTCACTTGTCAATCTATTTAGAGGTCTCCTTCTTTGACACAAATGCACACGCGTGAAAGGTTCATTTATGCACACACACACATACATATATATACTTA